CGAACCGACTGCCTTCACTTGCCGAACACACCAGAAACAACCTTGAATTTGTACAAGCCTGCCTTGAACCTGAATGGTCGAACACTAGAACTGAAAACACAGTTCGAACATCAACAAAATCTAATTCAACTTTGAACACCACCAAGAGAACTAAAATTGAAGTTTGAATTTCTCTAAGTTGCAAGCAAAATCCAAACAAGAACAAGAAAACTCTACCTACAAGTGGGCAAGCAAGATTTTCTCTCACTAGGCTTGAGAGATTCTCTCTCTAACACACTTGTATTTAGTAGCTTGCTTCCATGTCCCCATGTGCTCTGCGATGCCATGGCTTGGTTCATTGGTAAACTTCAACCTTCATTGGGGTTCATTGGTAAACTTTAACCTTCATTGGCACATCAACTCGATAAATCTTAAAATACGATGTCATTCTTGAGTACAATAAAACTAGAAAAGTATATGAAATTTGGAAGGATTAATTGAGAATTTTTTATTTTTTATTTTTTCCTTTTTTGATCTTGAGGAAGTTCTCGCTTCGCTGATATTCTCTTTTGAGTTCCCTCCAAGCACTTGAACAAAGAAGCAAGCACGAAATTCATAGGAGGAAATGGAATCCTATCACAATCAAAAGATTTTATTCAAATATTAAAATCTCTGATGGTACACATAGTATAACAACCATTGAGTACAGTTGAACATATCACAAACAAATCTGATCCAAAAAACTAAAATAAAATTCTCTAAGTACATATCATACATAATGACGTCTACAAAGTAACAAGAGCTTTGGACAACATCATAACTGGTCATTTGTTGACACCCGACGACAGGTTCGGAGCCTTCCCTCCTGTAGTCACATGGGGGTCGGGATTTAGGAAGAACTTGAGCAAGTACAAAGATATTAGTTCCATTTCAAATTTCATTGCCAGGATACAAACCATGGTGTTGGGGTTCGAATCCCTTGTGTATGAAACAGAAGAACAGATCCCAGAGCTGATGGTCACCTCTGCAACTGTTCAAAACAAGAGAGTAACCGCTTAAGCGTATAACCTTCAGACATTAATCTATTGTCATTATTGATTTTTCTTTTCAACCCTTTTTATTATTTCCAATTCCTGAAATCATTAGCCATCCGTTTCTGCAATGGACACCAACATGCTGCATCTCATAGACATCACCCCCGCAAATAAATCAGTGCAACAAAGAATATTTTTCCAGAAAATAGATGCAACGTGCAACAATGAGTTCCCCTCCACCAACCAAATAAGAATACAAGTCATCTTCCTTCCAGGTTTGAATAATATCATCTTTCCATGAGCCTATATCAACATAATTACAATACGAGTTTTATAGTGGTCAACAAACTAGAAGTGTAAGTATCTGTTGGCACAAGCAGAAAGTGTTATTATTCATAAGGAAGTATTTGGGCTGCTACCCCATCCTAACCATATTCTCACCCTTCCCACCACGAACATCCCTAGACATGTGAACCACAACAAAAAAAGTTCGAGTTATGATGTTATTAGCAACAATATTAAAAATTAGCATGCAAGACACATTCCATTTGTTAACCATTATAAATGTCACGGTCAACTCATAGAAATGCATGCAAATACATTAGCACCCACTAGACTCAGTTACGCTTAAAAGTGTATTTTAATGAAGTGCTACTATACTGATTTTAACTTTTAAATTTAAGATTGATGAGTATATAGCTCAATTAAACCTCATGAGTATACTTTGTCATGTCATGACTTTTATTCTGCTGCCATTCTTTCAATTTCAACATACCAGACACCATAATGAAATCAAATTGGGAATGTTCTACTCCACCGCATCCTCTTCCCGATGTCAAATCTAGCCCCTGTTTGGTAGAAATTAAAATCTAAATATTTATCAAAATCCATATTAAAGTCAACAATTAATTTTAACCACATATTTAATTGGACTCATAACTTTCCAAACACATTTTTCATTAACTTTTATCAAAATCTACTAAAAATCTGATTTTATTCGCCATTAAACAAGGGCCTAATGTTTAAAAAGGCCAAATCAAGTATCGAGGATTTTTGCTTCCATCATGCAACCCTTGAGGCAATCTAAGGTATAAGCCTCAACAAAAACTTGGTAGTCTTAGCCTCCATTTGGCAAAATTTATAAATCATTTATAAATGGTCAAATTTCATTTTCAATCACACGTTCCAATAGGCCCACAAGTATTATCCCCCACCCATTTCTATCTATTTATAAATTAAATTGTTTATAATTATTATTATTTTTATTTATTTATTTATTTATTTTTTTTGGGGGGGGGGGCTTTACTGAATCATTTTATCCCACATATCAAACAAACAATTGGTTCATCCATAAGGAACAGAATTCATCTATAAATATGGTATGAGTCATAATTCTAAACAAAAATATTTAAAACCATTAATTAAAATAAGTCCTTCCTAATCCAATTAGGAATATCATTTTTTTAATTTTTGATATTCGTGATTTTAAACAAATTAAATCATGCAATTATGAAGGGATTAATGCTAGAAGCTTGGAATGGACACCATAATAATATCGTCATGTCCTTGACCTAATATAGTCGTGACCCTGAACAAATAATTGTATTCTAGAAAAAATAAAAGCTTAACACCCTCATATATTACATCTTCGCCTCACAACCATCCTTGAATCACAAATTCAAACTATGAGATCACTGAAATAATTCAATTTCAGATAAATGTCTTGATTATCCATTCTAATGGAACTCCTTTTATTATCATGGACATGGATTTAATGATAGGAAGCATCAGATCAACTCAATGGAATACCATGTCTCCCCAAAACTTGTGAGAACACGTATTCCAAGCATAAAATCTCATCACCGAAGATATAATTTAAAGGCATACGAAAGATACATAAATGAAGAAGTCGGTTACCACTTAAGTTACTCCAAATAAGGATATCCTATTTTCTGTGGTCAGGGACTTGCAACAAATCAATCACATGCGGTAACATTAATTGAGATGATATATAACTAAAGCAAAAGTTTTTGCATGTTTTAATAAATGTTACATTTGTATTACGGCTCAGGTTTCCAAATTGATTCATATCCAATGGAGACTGGAAACTTAGCTGAACAAAATTAATTTTTTTGGGTCAGTTTTCATCTAATTATTATTGAACCGATATACATTGTTTAGCCTTTTATTCTCCTATAGGAAAGATCAACAGTAACCTCTAAAGATGAAAATGTGCCTCCACATCAACAGTTTTACCGATATAAAGTTCAACAGACAAACATAGTCACTCTATTAAATAATGAAGATGAGATTCAGATATATTCGTACTAAAATTTTTCGAAGAAAAGTCTATTCATACTTCAAGGCATTAAACAAGAGATAAAGGATCCAAATATGGAGACATTGAGTCAAACAGGACCTATTAGCACCAAAGATAACCACCGATAACAGATACAAATAACTGTACAGAAGTTGGTCATAGAGATACCTACTTCTTATATTTCTGGCTTCCAGGTCGCAAATTTCCCAGCTAAACTGACTATAGAGAAACTCTCGAGATATAGGAAATTTAACAAACGACGACCAATAACAACTCCATCATTCCCACAGTTGAACAAAAAGGATTTTCAAAAGCACCAACTGAAAACCTCCCAAACAAAATGACAAACATGATAACGCTATATCCTTTAAACTGATTCTCTGAATGTACTACCAAAATGTAGAGCAAACGAAGCGGCAACTGTTTTATAGCACACTTATTCTACAATCAGCACCTAAGGAATGTTTTGGCCTTTTCAACAAAGGCTCATCTGAATCCACTAGCAATATCTTCCTTGTCTTAGATAATGATTTAGAGCGTTCAAAATTTGAGTGACAATGACTAAAGCAACCAATTGTTTTCATATTCTGATTCCCCAGTGCATTAACCTTGGGTTTGGCATTTGTTCTTTCCTGCGGTGATAGCATATCCTCTATTAGATCAATGATTTTATGATTGGCACTTTCATCAGTCAATTTCGAAACCAAATTAGCCTCACATTCCACTTGGGATTCTTTTCGTTTCTCATTAGACTTCTTCTTAGTCGAATTATAATCATCCAAATCAGTAAAAATACACGCAGCAGCATTAGCATTTGCCAACATACTTCGAGTAAAGTATATATCCGATTTTGCCTCAGAAACTTTATCCAGTTTCTTCGACTCCAGCAATTCAGACATCAACTCATACCTAGAATTCATAATTGTCTCTGAAACAAATGCATGTTTCCTAAACTTGGACATGACAGAAACCATGTACCTAATATCATCATCATCCATAACAGAATCTTGATCCCACAAAGCTAGTTCCTTGAGCTCTTCCAGCAACAAAATTGAATTTTCACCATATGGGTCTCCAGCCCCCAAATTCCTTTCGTCTTCTCGGGGCATTGGGGGCAGGGAATCTTGAAAATTAACGCAGAGTATGGAAGTGTCTATATAGCCTTGTAATAGGAGTGGATCTTCTTCATGACACGCTTTGCAACAGGGAGGAGTCGTAGCTTGATCATTCTTCTCCAGGTAAAGTTCACTAACGGGTAGTTGAGAATCTTGCACGGAATTGAGGGGTGTTTGTGAATCTTGAAGGGAAGACGAACAGCTCTCTTGTTGGTTATTGGGGCTATTGGGTGGGGTTGGGTTAAAGCAGAGATAGTGGGAAAGTAAATGTTGAGGAACAGGGCCAAAGGGACAGTATTCTACGCGGCGAGGGTCTGCGGCGGAAGGGCGAGGTGGTGGAGGCGATTGTGGGAGTCGAAAGGAAGGGGTTTTGCAGAGGTGCCAAATAGAGGCATATGGATCACCTGCATAAGAATCCATTCTATTGCAAAATCACAAAATAGGAATCCTTGTTTGGCGATGGCGGTGGTCTGGTTGGGCTTTTGTAACCTTTTTCGTTTGTCAGTTTAATCTACCGTGAGTAAGCCACGAGACTTCTCTTCCGACATCGCCGTGCTAGACGGAAGGGTCAAATTCAAAGCTAAAGCTAGTTTTAGGGGTATTTATGTAATTTTACATTTGGCACTTAATTGCACACTTGCCTAAAAAATCAAGAAAGAGAGAGAAGTTGAAACCATTTAAAAAATAGAATTACGGCTTTATTACGTGTACTTTTTTGGACAAGTATA